GCTACTATTCCTGCACAAAATAAAATCACGAGACCTAGAGTTTGAAATGATCGGATCAATGAACTAAAACCAGCAGAATGTGTCCACAGGAAAGGTTTTTGCCCAATAAGACCCCATTGAGTCATGGTGGATCAGTTGGTAGAGCTGTTGACTCTCAGCGAGAAGGTCATTGGATCAAATCCTGGCCAGGGGCCTTTCTGGGTGGAGTTTGCATGTTCTCTCCGTGCATGTGTGGGTTTTCTCCAAGTACTCCAGTTTCCTCCGACAGACCAAAAACATGCATGTTAGACTGATTGGTAACTCTAAATTGTCCCTAGGTGTGAGTGAGAGAGTGAATGGTTGTTTGTCTCATTTGTCTCAATGTGTCCCTTTGATGGACTGGAGACCTGTCCAGGGTGTCTCCTACCTCTCACACAGTGACTGCTGGATATGAGCATCAGTGACCCCCATGACCCAAAAATGACGAGACGGGTAAAGAAAATGGATGGATGGATGGATGGATGGACGGACGGACGGACGGACGGACGGACGGACGGACGGATTGATTGATTGATTGATTGATTGATTGATTGATTCTCTGTTGGAGTTGTCTGCATCTGTGATCACTGCCGATAAGGGAATATGATAAATATACTGATGAACACAGGTCTGAATCTGTTCCTCATAACTGCAAATAAGTATATATATATATTTTTTTTTTTTTTGTTGAAAATGGTCTAAAAGTTGAAAACACACTGAACATATATCTGCTAAGTATTTTGTTAATTTACATTATTTATTAGGAGAAAAAACTTTTCGGGCATTTAATTATATTTTAATGGTAGAGATGTGCCCCACTTACACTTATGGACCAGCTGCTTCTGCTGAAAGTACATCACATCTGTGCAAAGAGATGATGTAGCAATAATAGCTTCTTTGCCTCTGTTTTGGAGTTACAAAGCTTTTAGGACAAATAATTGTGTGTGCATGTAGACAGATTTGTATACACAAACATGTAAGTGCATGGGTGTTAGTTTGCATTGTGTGTGGGCTTGCAAAGGACCAGCACAGCTGTCACTGCTTCCTGGCATCTGCTAACGGAGAAACAAACGCTGTGTCAGGTATTTGGTACATCCGCACACACAACCTGCACCACAGACACGCACACACACACACAAAAAGCTCACATTTGTACTTATTCTAAAAGACAAAGAGATTCTTTAAGCCTGGTTTTGTGTGCATGCATTAAAGGCTTTGGTTGTGTCATTCTCCAGCTGATTGTCCTGATATTGATTGTCTGAAAACTCCTTTATGTACAGCAGCTGTTTTGGCTTCTTGACAAAAGCTGAAGCCTGAACTCTGCATTTGATGGAATGATAACTTCTAATATAAAAAAATAATAATAATCTACAGAATGTAATTTTTTTAGTACTTTTTTTTTTCCCTCGGTCTGTGTTCTTTTTAAGTGTGGTCCTTCCTACTGGTGTCTTTACTTTGTATACAGGTCCTTCTCAAAAAATTAGCATATTGTGATAAAGTTCATTATTTTCCATAATGTAATGATAAAAATGAAACTTTCATATATT